GACCAAAATATGAATGCCCAATCTGTTTTGCACGAATGCAAGCATTAATTCATACAAATGGGATATAATCGTCACACGGCAAGTATTCATATTCATATGTATTTTGTCTCAAAACAAAATGAAATCCAACTTATTTAGTCCATAAAAACATCAGTCATTTATGCCAGCTTTTTTCTCTTCTCTTTCAAGTATGTGTGGGATTTTTTCTGTAACTCTCCCAATATTCCCTTATACGTTACCAGAGGACACCACCACCATATCTACCATGGCAACACTAGTTACATGTGGTGCTTTACAAAGTGTTACTGGGTTAAAATTCCCAAATACACTGTAAGCTAAGATTGATGTCGGATAAAGTGAAAAACAGAAAAAAAACCTGACAATTTTCTCCAACAAATTTTATTTAATTTTTTGATTTCACGTAAATACTAAGATGTTTATAGATTAAAATGTTGTTTGTTTTAACATTTGATACCCATACTGATTACACTGATAACCAACAAATTAATCATGATTGGTTCATAATAAAAAAACATGTAAAATTTATGCCAATCATCAACATGACTTTTTTAGTGAAAGTTGCTATTATTGATGAACAAATTGAATTTTTTTTATTGTACACTGAACTTTTCATGATGTCCCTAAAAGATTCTGGGTACATAGATTGCATTTGTTTACAATCATACCTACTGCTAAAATTGACTAAGTGTTCAAAATGTCATAAAAAGACGCCGCCAAAGGTGCGCGACGCACAATATTTCGGCTAGCTGTCAAACAACTTGTCAATTCAAAACATCGACACGCCAAAGTGAAAAAGTTGACACACGAAAAATAAAAGTTAACTTGCCAACCATATTTTCTCTAAACCACGTCATAATTTGAGCAGTAACTATGATCATTTACTTATACTAGGGCCTTTGAGAGTAGTCACGTTCAGCCAAACTGTTCCATAGTATTATGGGTAATTGAGGGGCAGTATTGAATATTGCTTGTGTAACTTTGCACCGAAAATGATAGAAAGCCTTGGCGATGCTATTCTCAAAAGGGTTTTTAATTGGTAAATGGATTATTGATCGAACAGGTTTGAAAGATTAAAATAGTGACATTTGTACCACAGCTAAGGACGGTAGTAGTCATGGAGTGTGTACCCTGGAATACTGTAATTAATAGTGAACAATTACTCACCTCTGCCATTCTGTTCCCAAAGTTAATCTATAAATTATCAGAACAAAAAAAAAGTCATAAGTATTCCAGTATAGTATCAAACTTTCTCACCAATGCTTAAAATCACTATGGGTGACCCAGTCATTCCAGTTTTTATCCACACCCCATACATGGATGGTTATA